TTAATAAGATCACTCGGACAAGTATTGGAACAGCGGTAAGGTTGCTCCCTCTGTGATCGAAAGGTGACTGGGTTGAGTCTATAAACAGCCTATTTGCAAAAATGCAAGGTTGTGTACAATTGACCCTCATCTCTGTTCTCGTAAATTGGAGAGCCTTGTACATCACGGTTTTCCTTTACTTAATAAGCATGAAGTATTGGATTGAGTAGATTGTTTATGTTGGTTGGTGAATGCTTATTATGCAGAATGCAGATGGAAGGGAATCTGTGTGTAATGGGTGCTTACCTTCTTGCTATTCTGGCTCTCCACCACGCAGAACAGAGAACCCATTGGTTCATGATGTGGAGTTTCTTCATCACGTGGAAGTTGTTTCACCATTAGCAAGAACTAAACTCTCTGATAAATTTGGTTTTACCTCTGCCTCTCCAATCTGAATCAGAAAAGTGGAAGAGTTTGTCACAACTTTGCATAGTCTAGAAGTAACATTTGAGGAATTGTTGTAGAGGATATTTAGTATAAAAGCACGTTTTCTCCATGCTTAATATGTAAATACTTATTGTGAGGACTCAAAATGTGTCTTGTATATATCAAATTTTGTTGTGTGATGGCCATGTGAAGAAGAAGCTACCTTATTTTAGCTTAATTAATGGTAGACAATGACAATGAAAATAGAATGAAGATTTCAGAAGAGCAATTTTTGGATCCACCAATGTAAATTTAATTTTGTTTATTGTCTCTTCCTTTTTCTTTTTCATCTTTAATAATAGCTATTGTTGTTTGTAATTCTTCCTTAGGGCCTACCTTTTAGTCTTTATCCCATCTTAAATCGTTTTTTTATAAACAAAAGTAAGACACTAAATTATTCTTATAGAGGAAGAAAACCACGATATTTGCGTCTAATGTTAATTCTATGGTAATGCTACAAAGTATCCAGGAGTTACATAGTCTGAATGAATTATAAAATAAGAGAAAATTAGAACGAGCCCATATGTAAATGGGACTTCAAGCAATTTGTTTCAAAACTTCGAACATATAAAAGAAGGGGTGAAAAACATAATCCTGCATTGATGGGTCTTATGCTAATGAAATAAAATATTTCAATTATCTTTCCTAATTATGTTTTCTTTAATTACCATTATTCTCTTTATAGAGATTGTATATTATGCAATCATTTAAGATTTGATTTGTATATTTTCTGATATCAAGATTATAATTAACGGTTTCCATAATTAATGATGGTAAATCTTATATGAATAAAATGTGACTGCCGAGATATCTTACAAATGATTCACAAATTCTTATTAATAATGAGATCGAAAGATACAGGAATGAGTGCAAAGAATTGATAATGAAATGATAATGCATGAGGTAAACATTTTGTATTTTATATTAGTATAAATTATACTTTTAATCTTGATTTTAATATTTCTGAATGTTATTTACATTCTTTCCTAAAACGATATTGTTTTGAGTTGAAAACTTAAAAAATTATAAGAAAAAAGATTATTATAACCCTGAAATAAATTATAATTATAAAAATATTTTGATTTTGGCCTCAAAACGACATCGTTTTGGACTCAATGTAGATAAATTATCTATATTAACTTGTAAAAAAAATGAACCCTTTAATCTTATTTGTTAATTTTAATAATACATAATGACTATGATGAAATAGACATGTATCTTCACCTGTTGAAAGAGAAATTAATCAAATTATTATCTTCCCATATAAATATAAAATGGTGGGTTTATGGGTGTTAATGGGCCGAGCCGAGTCGAGCTTTGGTCTTAAAAGGCTAAGCCTGTATTTAAATGTGTCAACCTGACCAAGCCTGTTACCTGTCACGAATATAATTTCAGCATGTGACCTGTCTTATTTACAAAAAATGAAAGCTTGCTTTAGCCTGTTAAGCCTATTTAAAAAAAAATAAGACAACACAAATTTATTCAAGCAAAATATACAATCAACAGCACTAATAATTCCATAAATATTCATAAATTTAATGTATATCCAAATAGCATAATAGAAAATAAAACCATTCAAAAAGTCTGTTTAATTAATAAAATGAAATGAAATGGATTCAGGAGAGAGAGAGAGGGTTATCACAAGTAGTACAAAAAATATAAAAATATATAAAAAATTAATATATTAGGCAAGCCTGAGAAACTCAAAGGCCGAGCCTTTGAATTGAAGCCTTAGGCCTTTTTATTAAACGAGCTTTTATACAAGTCCAAGCCTGGGTCCAACAATCAATTTTAGACATGTAAGCTCAGGCTTTCACGAGCCGAGCCAAAGGCCCCTGGCTCGTTTAGCACCCTAGGTGGGTTCATTACAATTTTTTTCTCTAAACTCATTTCTTTTCTCTCACATAAGAATAATAACTTTTCCCGCAACAATAGAATTTATTATCCCTTAGACATAATATTTTTCTTTTTGCATATGTTTACTGTTTTATCTATTATTTAATTAGTCGAATTCGAATTTCATGAAACTCTATTATAAAAGGGAACAATGACCATTGTGCCACTGTTTCCACACAAATATACCAAAATGCCACGCACGTGAACCAATTTCTCAAACTGCCATGCATGCAAGGTCGCTTGGAGCAGCAGCGAACTACGCATGATGAGGTGTTAGCAAGCTGGTGGTGTCAGAGTTCGCTTCTGACACAAGCGAACTTGTCTGCAATAAATACTGACACGTATGATGAGTTCGCTGAAGTTCCAGGCGAACTTAATTTGCCACGTGTCAGACCCTTACCTAGGTCGCTTGGGTCCCACGCGAACTAGGTGACAAGTGGCAGCCTCTGCACTAGTTCTTTGGACAGGGAAGCGAACTTGGTGACACGTTGCAGTTCCCCAGAAGTTCGCTGCCTAGGTAAGCGAACTACATGCCGACAGTTATAGGTCGCTGGCTCAGGCAGCGAACTCAGTGTTATATAAACACCCCTCCTCATCTTTTCTCAAAATCAGTCTCGTCCGTTTTCTTAGAAGAAAATTTTCATTTCTGTTTGTTTTGCTTTGTCTATTTCAGTACATAATGAGTGAGAATAACAACGATGTAATATGCCTTTTATATTACAATGGGAGGAGATATTTTGGACCGAACGGTCAAGTGTTTGAAGGAGATACGAAGATCTTCCGCATGAGTCCGCGTTGCAAATATACAGAGCTCAAGAAAATAATATACAAGAAGTTGAGATTACAACGAGGTCAATCCCTGTCTCGACTGATTGCTAGATGTGCTTCTTCTGGTAACCCCGTGCAATAGGTTGCTGTGGAGGTGGTTGAGGATGAAGATGTGTCACTAGTAGTTGATGCATTTCGACAGCATGGAGAGTCCTCATACATCGAGTTATATGCGGAACTAAACACCAGTGGAGAGGCAAGCACTCAAACTTTCATCCCTACCAGTTACTCCATAGACATTAACAGGGAGCCGAAAGTAAATCTGGAAGATATGAATGTGTCACCCCCACCACCGCCACCTCCAATAACACAACCTTTAGATGTGATTCCTGCCAATGACATGTATGATCCGTCGTGGCGTACTGATAGTTCCGAGGAGGAGGTTGATGAAGGTCTAGTCCCTGACAGTGACTCCTCGGATACAGACGTTGATGGTGATTTCGAGTTGGAAACGTCCACTGCTTTGGTTGAATCGATTCCATCACCGGGTATTGTTGGTGCACATGACCCACCATCTGCTGCAGGTTAGTAGTTTACTGTTTGAGTCTTTATGTAGTTTACTGTTTGAGTTTTAATTATATTTATATGTATTTAACAACATTCGAAATGTGTGTGAAATAGTAAAACATTAAACTATATGTTATTTAACTATTAACATTAAACTATATGTTATTATACTAAACTACTAATATTAAACTAATTAAAATAATAAAACAATTAATATGTCATCTAACCTAATGTTTTATGTTACATATAATATATATAGGGTTTATCATCTATCATTTAACATGACCACAAAAATTTTCCTACACACACAACATTTTGTGGGGCCCGCAGCAAAAAAAAAAAAAAAACTTCGGCACGCAAAACGAATCTCTATAACATAACACAATCACTTTTCCTACAATATAACTCTTATAAAACCCATATATATAACAACAACTAAATAACAACAAAAATATAAATAAAAATTAACAATATTATATATCGCTAACCTCAAATGAAGACAAAGAAGGCAAATGAGAGAGAAAGAAAATTAAAAGAGGAAGAGAGTGAAAGAAGAAAAATAAAGGAGATAGAGAGAGAGAGAGAGAAAAGGGAGGGGGAGAGGGTGCTGGGGATGATGGGGGGAGAGGGGAGGGGGGTATATATAGGGAACCGCTGCATCAAGTTCGCCCAGGTGGGAAGCGACCTTGACGCATGTCAGCCACGTGACACTAGCCGTTGCACACAGGTCGCCCAGGTGAGGGGCGACCTCTGTTGCATACAAGCCACGTGTCATGGCAGGTCAGACATTAATTGCAACAGAGGTCGCTTGTGTCAGAAGCGAACTATGACACCACCAACTAGCTGACACCTCATCATGCATAGTTCGCTACTGCTCCAAGCGACCTTGCATGCGTGGCAGTTTGGGAAATTAGTTCACGCGCGTGGCATTTTGGTATATTTGTGTGGGAACAGTGGCACAAATGGTTAATGTTCCTTATAAAAGGGATAACAAAGTTCTTATCACTTAAAATTGGAGAAGAATATTGTAATAACCAAGTTCTGTTACTACATGTTACTACCAATCAATTTCACCGTTAAATCGATTATGTTGATCAAACGGTTATGATAATAATTATTAAAGGTTTTATATTCTTATATCCGTAAAATAATAACCTGTTTTTGCTATATATTTGTTTAAATAATAATAATAATATATAGAAAGAAAGGAAAGACAGCCAGTAACAGTAAACAGACGTAGAGAACAGAAGAGGATCCGCCGTTCCAATTTCCAAACGGTCAGGTCATCAACTGTAATGGTGGTGGCCTGGTGGGGTCCACTCACATGGGCGAGGGTACATAAAGTGATAATAGGTTGGCTCAGCTCAGCTCACACTGTTCACAAAGACAGAGTCACCTCCTCACTCTCAAGTCTCACCCACTGTTTCAATTTCAAGATCTCGGTCACATCACATCACATCAAAGTTCAAGATCCTCTCTTTCTCCAATAAAACCCTACTACACTAATACACTCCGTGATTTGTGGTTCTCCCCACCCCCACCCACACCCACTTCAAAGTTCAAATCATTGGGTTTGGGATTGGGTGCTAACTGCTAACGAAGAAAATGCTCAGTTTCTGTAGAATCATCATCTTCTTCTTGTTGCTCTCCCTTTGGGCCCATTGTTATTGCCATGCCCACGTCTTCACCTTCACCATGCACCACCGTTTTTCCGAGCCCGTAAGGAAATGGTCCCACGCCGCCGTCTCTCCGCCCGATCGCTGGCCGGAGAAGGGCACCTTCGAGTACTACGCCGAGTTGGCCGACCGCGACCGCTTCTTCCGCGGCCGCAAGCTCTCCCAAATTGACGCCGGACTTGCTTTCTCCGATGGCAATTCCACCTTTCGGATCAGCTCCCTCGGATTGTATGTTCAATTCTTTCTTTCTTTCTTTCTCTTTTTTTTCTTTTTATTATGTTAATGGATATATACGGTGATGTTCAGAAAAGAAAGAAATTACAAGTGATTTATTATATTTAAAAGTGGAACCCTTCATTCTTAATTGTTTTAGTAAATTAATTGTTTCTAGTGATTAGTTTTTTTTTTTTTTTTTTTTCCTTTTGGGGTTTACTAGATTATTTTCTTTAACTCATTCTTTTCCTTTTTTTTGTTTGTCTTGTTTTTATGGAGATTCATACAGTTTGCATTATACAACAGTTCAACTAGGGACACCGGGGGTGAAGTTCATGGTGGCGCTTGATACAGGAAGTGACCTATTCTGGGTACCCTGTGATTGCACCAAATGTGCAGCTACCGATGGCACTGCCTTTGCTTCAGCCTTGGCTTCAGTAGGTTTACTTCTCACTGAAATTAACTAGTATCTCTAATGTTTCTGCTTATCAAATGTTTCTGCTTGTTTACCTTTTATGGGAAAAATATGTTGAAGAGTGAGCTTTCTATGGTTCTTGTGTTCTGAATATATCATTATCCTTTGCCTCTGCTTTGTCTTTTTGAATGAAAATCATTGTATTGGCAGGATTTTGACCTTAGTATATACAATCCTAATGGATCTTCAACTAGCAAAAAGGTCACTTGTAACAACAGTCTGTGTACGCACCGCAATCAATGCCTTGGGACATTCAGCAATTGCCCCTACATGGTCTCTTATGTCTCTGCTGAAACTTCTACATCGGGAATACTAGTGGAGGATGTTCTGCACTTAACAAATGAAGATAATCACCATGACCTTGTTGAGGCAAATGTCATATTTGGGTTAGTTTCCTTGTTAAGTTACTAAAACTGATCAACTTTACGTATATCTTAGTGCTTTTAGCTTTCTGGCTCTTTCTTATTTTATTTTTTTCCTCTCCTTTTTATTTCAATTATTGATCTAAGAAGAATTAGCAATAAAAATGCAATACATGTGTTGCAGCTGTGGACAAGTTCAGAGTGGATCATTCTTAGATGTCGCTGCTCCCAATGGTTTGTTTGGGCTTGGAATGGAGAAAATATCAGTTCCTAGCATGTTATCAAGGGAAGGCTTTACAGCAGATTCATTCTCCATGTGTTTTGGACGTGATGGCATTGGAAGGATAAGTTTTGGGGACAAGGGAAGTCTTGATCAAGATGAAACTCCTTTTAATCTGAACCCATCACAGTAAGTGGTAATTCCCTGTTACTTGCCTCTGATTATCTGAATTTGAAGTAATACCAATGCTTGCAAAGATTTCATCTCTTATGCTTGAATGCATCTCACAGCCCTACCTACAACATCACAGTCACTCAAGTCCGTGTAGGAACAACTCTAATCGATATGGAATTCACTGCTCTTTTTGATTCTGGAACCTCTTTCACATATTTGGTTGATCCAACCTATACGAGCCTTTCTGAGAGTGTAAGTACTAAAAAGAGACAGAATCTGCTTACATTTAGCTAGATGTTATTAGAAGATAAAACTTACCATAGTATTTATATTGCAGTTTCATTCCCTAGTACAAGATAGGCGGCGTCCATCTGATTCAAGAATCCCTTTCGAATATTGTTATGATATGAGGTCACAAAGCTATTATTATTTATATTTCATTTAAGTTTTTTCTTTCAAAGCTAAATATTCTTTCTTATGATGGACAGTCCTGATGCAAATACTAGCTTGATCCCCAGCCTGAGTTTAACAATGGGAGGTGGAAGCCATTTTGCTGTTTTTGATCCAATAATTATTATCTCTACTCAGGTGGTAGTGCAAGCCGGATACCTCTTCAATCTATGTATCCAACAATTAATAGCTTTGGATATACGTATAACTAAAGATGTTTCTTCTCTTATTATTTAACAGAGTGAACTTGTATATTGTCTAGCAGTTGTCAAGAGTGCTGAGCTGAACATAATTGGACGTAAGTCTATACTTTCTAAATGTGATATGTTCATATGATTGGATGTATTCTATGAAGCTGAAGTGAATTGAGTACAACTGGGGGCAAGCTTAAGAAAGAAGTTTTGCTTGAGATTAAATGGAATGAAAAATAAGAGTGGATTTGTTGACTGTTAGTGACTTGGTGTCTTGATGTCACTGCAGCATTTTTTTACTTTTTCATAAAATTCTAAATAATGCATGATGTGTCATTTATGCTCATTCTCATGGCCTGTTCTCCAAAATGATATGATGACTGCTCACGCCTCAGCTTTGAATGTTGACTGCAGAAAACTTTATGACTGGTTACCGTGTTGTATTTGACCGGGAAAAGCTCATATTGGGATGGAAGAAATATGATTGTAAGTTTTTATTTTCATCTCATAGTTACTGTTCGTCCAATTTATTGGTTGTGTGCCGAGATTAATAGTCATATACATGAACTTCTAAGGAAAAAAGAAAGAAAGAAAGAAAGACATAATCATACTTCCCTTAAACAGGTTATGACATTGAGTACCATAATGCTATCCCATCAAGACCACACTCAGATACTGTGCCTCCTGCTGTGGCCGCCGGGCTAGGCAAGTACCCTCACACTGATTCAACTAGAAAGACCAAATACAGTTCTCAGACATCAGTTGCATCACCATCATCGCATTATTGTCATACTTCACTTTCGACTTGCTTTGAATTTCTTGTATTTTGTCTTGTTTACATATTCCATGATCATTCATTTGTATGGGCCATTGGTAGTTTATGGTAAAGCCTTAGGTCATATTCTTGATCTACATGTTGATGTCTTGATGATATTAGAGCATCTTTCCTTTTACTGCTCTATAGTGTAGTCGTGTAGAATATGTGTAAGAATTTTACTCTCTTGATATAACACACCGTATAAATGCCATTTGTATGATTAGAATGCCATGCAGAAGGAAGCATATTTTCATGTTATAAGTCTGAGAAGCTAATTAATGCTTTGATTAGAATGCCATGCAGAAGGAAACATATTTTAGCAGCCTTCCATATTTCCATGAGCTTGAGACTTCATTTTGTTTATTTACTTTTTGCTATATAGTTTGGGAAAAATGTTTCTGCAGTTAATACAGATAAATTATCTGTAATTATTCTCAAAACGACGTCGTTTTGATATTGAAATCTTAAAAATTTATAAATATAAAGATTATTATAACTCTGAAATAAATTAAAATTACAAATACACCATGATTTCCGCCCCAAAACGACGTCGTATTGGACTTACTGCAGAAAAAAACGAACCCATGTAGTATATACATTTTAGGTTTTATTTCAGCTTCAATCCATGCAATTGCAACTGACAGAAGAAAAAGGTTAATAAATTTCTATAATGTGTGAGGAAAAAGATTTTATTTCAACATCAATCCATGAGGCCAAGTGTGGTGTACATATAATATAGGAATCTACTTTTTCTAAATCTCGATGGAAACTTACACAATTTAGACTGGAGCTATTCCCACTTCGAAAGTTTAAAAAATAAAATTTATGAACATATGCTGTTTTAATAATAAAAAAAGTAAGTAAGCATTTTTAAAGTTTATCTTTAAAAAGGAAACTTGTTTATAATACTAATAAAGATAAAAATAATAAATTTTAAAAATAATTAATACTACGAATCTTATAACTAAATATAATCTATAAAAATTCATAACGATTTATTTATAAAAATCACGATAACATTATATATTATTTTTAAGAATTTAAATCTCAAATTCTTTAAAATAATATTCTAATGGAAAAATTCAATATATAATATATTATCTTCTTTCAAATTATTTTTAAAAATTTATATCTTGTCGACCGAAAAAAAATATATATCTTATTTTGCAACTTTTTCATGATGGGGTGAAGATGACATGTTATTAGCACCAATACCCGCTGTAGTGACTGTGTTTGTAACCTTCAAAGCACGGCGTTTGAAAAAAAAATTACGTGTTCGACACGCGGTTAATATTTGGAGGCATGCGGTCAATTTTTGGACACGTTTTGACACTATTTTTGCTACGCGGTCAACTTTTTCTGACACGCGGTCAAAGCTCAGACACGTTTTTTTTTAAAATCTTAATTTTATTTTGCTAACTAAATATAAAAGAAATAATTTATAAATTAATTTTTTTATGTTATGAAATTTGATATGCAAATTTAACAAAGTACGAAAAATTAGTAATATTTATATTTGTTATAAAATTTAAATATTTGATTGGTTATATGAGTTATTATGGACTCTTATATGTATTAAATATAAATTATATTATATATATTAAAATTTTTATTTAATATCAAAACGTGTCAAAATATGACATTTTTTAGAATTAAAGTGTCAACGTGTCGTGTCCTGTATCCGTGTCCGTGGATCATTGTTTGTAACTGTGTTATTTGTATTATTTGCGTGCTGATTTTTCTGTGTTTTTTCAGCTTTCTGGTCACGAATTTCAAAAAAAAAAAAAAGTTGAAAACTATTTAGTGATTATATAAAGATATTTTTAGGGTTTTAAAGGGAAGAAATAGAATGTTTTGTCCTTACAATAAAGGGAAAAAAGTATTTAATGTTATTTTAGATAATTTTGTCTAATGTTTATTAAAATGATATTGTTTTGAGGTTAAAAAATTAAAAAATTAGAATGATAAAGACTAGTATAACCTTGAAATAAATTAAAATTACAAACATACCATGATTTCTATCCCAAAACGACGTCATTTTGGTGAACATTAGATAAAATTATCTAAAGTAACTTTAGAAAAAATGAACCCTACAATAAATTATAGGGTAAAGGAAAAAAAGTTATAAATATAAGTTTTTTTTTTTTTTTTTTTTTTTTTTTTTTTTTGTAAATAAAGAGGGGCTAAGCCCCAGAAACAGAAAGAAATTACAAATCAGAAACTAACAAGCTAGACATATTTCTAGCATCAGTAACTATAAGTTCCATCAACTGAGGAGGATGATCTTTAAAAATCTTGAAATGGAGATTATTAGTCTGCCCAGCTTTAGCTAACCAATGAGTATATTTGTTGTTTTCTCTCTTGGTATGAACAAGATGAATAGTCCAATCTGCTTTTAACCATAATCTCAATCTGCTAGTAACTTGAGAGTCCCTAGGATCTTCATGCTGCTCCTTTAACATCTGGATGGCTTGGCTAGAATCACATTCTAGCTCTATTCTTTTTAATCCTGTTCCCCAAAGCAGTTCCAAACCTTTCAGTAATCCCCATAATTCTGCATCAAGAGGATTGCAGGAACCTAAATTACAATAGAAGCTTCCCAAAAAGGATCCATTGTGATCTCTTAATATACCACCACAACTAGCTTTTTTATGCCACTAGAAGAAGCTCCATCACAATTCAACTTAACCCACCCTTGCTTGGGGGCTGTCCAAACGCTATCGTTGGAATCACCACGGCGCTGATAAATTCGGGCTTGCAGAATCTGTTGGACAAACATCCAGATTGAAGCCTGCGATTGCTCATCATGACAGAAATGATCTTCATGGATCTCCAAATTTCTCCACTTCCACAAAAACCAACAAGTAGTAAAGAAAATATCCCTCCAGTCCTTCACTTTATTGGAGGACCACATGTTATCGATATTTAAAGTCAACCAATCCTGCAAATTCGAATTCATAAAGGAATTGTGTATCGAACCTGTAAACCAAGATTGCCAAATTTTCCTAGCATGTCTACAATCACGAAGAACATGAATAATAGTTTCCTCATGATTTGGACAACTGGGACAGACATTTGAACCTCCGCTCCACTTACTGGTTCTGATGCGCACTGAAAGTTTAGCAAGCAAAGTCATCCACATAAACACTTTCACTCGTTCTGGTCCATTCCACGACCAAACTTTTTTCCATAAGCTAGTGTGAACATCTGCTGGGAAGTTCATAAGATTACAGTAAGCGATCTTAACCAAAGAAGTTGAGTGATGATTATTGATCCAAACTAATCTATCCTCCGCATTCCTTGGAATAAGCCTGAGATGATTTGTTACTGCATCAGCCAAATCTGACTCCAGAAATTGATGAACAACTTCAAGACGGAAACCATCATCCACTATGTAATCTGCAATTGATTTCTGACTCTCCTCCCACGACACCTGATTGCTCGACAACTGTTGCAAATTTTCCTCCCATCCCAACCAGTTATCAGTCCAAAGCTTTACTTCAGAACCATCTGCTATTTCCCATCTAAGACCAGCAAGGAAATTACTCCAACATTTAGCAAGATCACGCCAAAGTTTAGAGTCATATGATTTTGCCTTTATACCTCTCCTTAAGTCTTGACCTCTACCATACTTGGCTACTAAAATCTTAACCCATAAATCATCTTTCTTAGTTAACACCTTCCACGCTAGTTTATGAATATAAGCTTCATTTTGGAGTCGAAGGTTAATTATTCCCAAACCACCTCTATCTTTGGGTTTATACATTTGATCCCAAGCTACTAAATGAGCCCGCCTTCTGCTATCCTGATCTCCCCAAATGAAAGCCCTTTGTATCTGATCAATTTCATCACAAAACGTTACTGGTAAAAGACCATTCTGCATATGGAAAGAAGGGATTACAACAATGACCGATTTCACCAAAGTAACTCGACCAGCAAAAGAAAGGCAATGGCTTTTCCAACCATCCAGTTTTGAACGTATCCTATCCTTGATAGCTCCATAGTCTGCTTTAATATATCTCCCTTGTTTAACAATAGAGCCTAAATATCTGCCAATACTAGAAGTGCGCTTAAAGCCCATTCTGTTGACAATCCTTGTAGCAACTTGAGTATCAGTATTCGGGGAAAAATAAATCAAAGATTTATTTGCATTAACACTTTGCCCCGACATCTCACAAAAGAGATTAATACAATCCATAATCACCTTAGCTTGCTCCATATCTGCTTCCGCAAAGAGAATGATATCATCTGCAAATAAAAGGTGGGATACACTCGGCCCTCTTCTGCAGACTCTGATAGGCTTCCACGAACCCATAGTCACTTTTTCAGCGATCAAGTGGGAAAGCTTCTCAACACACAACACAAAAATATAAGGAGATATTGGATCCCCTTGACGAATTCCTCTCTGAGGAACTATGCAATCCGAAGCCACACCATTTATCAAGACCCTCGAACGATTAGAAGTTATAGAAGCCATTATAACACCAATCATCCAATCAGGAAACTGAACTTCAATAAGCACTTTATAGATAAAACTCCAGTTGAGTTTATCATAAGCTTTTTCAAGGTCCAGTTTGATTGCCATTGTACCTTTCTTTTCTTTTACTCTCCCCATAGAATGAACCAGCTCCTTTGCTACTATAATATTATCCTGAAGCTGACGATTTGGCACGAAGCTAGCTTGGTAAGGAGAAACTAAATTCTCCATTGTAAGCTTAAGCCTATCCAGAATGATCTTGCTCATACCCTTATAAATGACATTACACAAAGAAATAGGCCTGAATTGAGAAACATACATTGGCTTAGGAACTTTGGGGATCAAAGTGATCAGAGTACCGTTGACTTCCTCAATGCTGGAAGGGTTTTCTGCATAATACTTGATATCTCTCCAAATCTGTTCACCAATAAATTCCCAATTCTTTTTGTAGAATGCCGCGGTATAGCCATCCTCCCCTGGAGCTTTCGAATCTTTCATAGAAAAGAAAGCTCGTCTGACTTCATCTTTTGAAATTGGAGCACCTAAGTTAACAACAGTCTCATCGTCCACCTTTGGCCAAAGAGTCTGGACCCAATGACGATCATGGTTTTCTTCAGAAAATAGTTTAGAGAAGTAAGCATTTATTACCCGTGCAATGTTGTGATCTTCTCTAATCAAGTTTCCAGCATCATCTTTCAACTCCAAGATCTTGCCCCTTCTGCGTCTAGCAATTGTTTTCGTATGATAGTACTTTGTATTCC